ACTCAATGGAACAGAGAGAAAGCTCATAAGATCCGCTTTGCAACGATTTATGATAGTACAACATTGGAGGAGAAAAAATTACCGGTAAAACACATACAAGAAAACCAAAGTTACAACTCATGCATTAATTTGTGAATGACCTGATGCAGCGAACATTCATCAGAAAACAACGATAGGAAACAAAAAGTGAGTAAATATGCGAATTTGTGAACCATGAGACGCTCTAAATGTCGAGTGTAAACAATGGGACTGTGCAAAAGAAGGGGTGCGCATGAGCGTGCATTTTTAACAGTGTGTGCATTCGTGTGTGTTGTATGTGTATATGTGTACGTGTCGATGTCTATATGTATAAAAGGATAATCTCGACGTTGATCAATCCCCGGGGGATGCGCCATGCATTCGACTTCATTATGCATCGTTTAGAGGTGATTGAATGCATTTATGGTCTCTACAATGACTCGCGGTGGCCTACTGATGTATCGAGCCAGTGCTGCTATCCTCCCAGATAAGTATAGTACCAATTTGCCGACAGCGGAGGGATGGAAGGCTAAGGCTCGGTGGGCCGTCGGCGCGGGGATCGGTTCCAAGTGCGTGTCGCAGTGGCGCGTCCAACCATTGCGTCACCCACGCCCTAAATGAAAAAATGAAATTAAAAAAATGAAGAAAGATTTATATATAAACCCTCATCCAGTCCGTCTACTTTTTCAGACGAGCGACTATGATGGAGATCAGGTGAGCTACATTGTGGTGAATGTATTCCGAGGTTTCCAACAACTCTCAAACTCATTCAAAATAGCCATTTAGCAGTGGAGCAAAGATTCCCAGTATATCAAAAACCATTTTAACCCATAGTTCTGCAATTTTTTTTAATACTAGACGGTGCTGAAATTTTTTATCCCCAAAGTACTGAATGGATTTCCAACTATTAGCGTTGTTAGTATTCACATATATGAGTTAATAAAGTTGAGAGGATCAAAGATAGTGGAATTTTTCCTCTCTATGCATGATTTACTATCTCATTGTGGTTAAGAGTTTACAATCGAGGGTTCGCCCAGTCAACAAGGTCTCCTAACGTAAGAGCGAGATTTCCATTTGGAGCATCAACTAAGGTTAAAGCAAAGCCAAGAATCGCCATTGTCATGATTATTATGAAAGGTCCCAATTCGATTCACACCTGTTGGCGACCTACCTGTGGCACCAACATAGCAAAAAGCAAACACAAATACCTCGAGACTCAAACGAAAGAAAATCTCGGCCAACCAGACTTGATTGGCATTTTGTTGGAATCGGCACGATTCTTCATAAAGGTGGGCTGTTCCTTGGGTTCAAGTCTCGTGTTAATCGACTCCGTAAGGAATATTTTTCACACGTTGGTTGTAATCAATCTAATAAAATGATAAACGTTATTTGTTGTTGTGTAGTCCTGTAATGTGCAGCACTTCTTCCTGAGATAACGCTGTTGCGTGAAGTTCCATTAAAAGAGCTATAAGTGCAAGTGCAGTACTACGTTGAGCAGTACTTATCTCTGAGTCATCGCTTTGCTTTTCTACGAAATGTCTTTCAATGCAGCCAGTATAATTGCACCTATTTGGAGATTTTTCTTTCTCCACAAAAACCAGAGGAGTCATTTTCTAACGACGAAGAGAGAAGGGCACTCATTGATCAATATCTATGCCTGTATACATTTGCAAACTTAATGTTAGTGTAGAACGACTCACTATTTCATTCAATGATACAAACGCCGAACTAAGACTGAACAAACATGAAAGAAGAAAAAACGAAAACAAGGGCATTTCACTACCTCAAAATTCTTTCTTCGAGCTTCGTCAAATTAAGCTCAAGGACTTAAACATTACAGGAACATTAAGCACAATGGGCTCGCCGCATAGGACTAGATTCTGGTGAACCTAGGATTATACTACTTCTCTTAAAATACGTGGAATAAATTTCTCATGCACACCATCGATGAAATGACAGTACCCTTATTACACTGCGTAGGTCTCAGATCGAACAGTTCGATGAAGCTACTAGGAATTCTTCAATTACAGGGACTGGATGTTTGCACAAGCAGTTATTTTTTGAAGCCTTGAAACTGCCATTATCACAAGCTTTGACAAGAGCAGCAATTTCGTATGTATTCACAGGTGGTAAGTATTCATTTGTTACATACAGGTAAGTCGTCTACTTTTGTGGTCCTTCAGTCACTAGCAGACTAACACAACTCCCGTCGTTGAAATTCTTGTTCACATTGTAATGTAATGGAGGGAGTCAGATATGTAAGCACAGAATTTTACTAATCAATTTATCAATTTTCACGCTTTTTGCTTTTTTATGCTGCCAGAACACACACACACACACAAACACACACACACACACACACACACACACACATCCATTAACGTATCTTGCGATGTAGGCTCACGATGAAGACCTATTAAGAGCCAATGGATGAGTTCGCCGGTGTCCGGTAGATTCCTCTTTTCATTGCTGAACATTACTCCCAATAGCGAAAGCATATTCTACGATGTAATCTAGGTGCTAATAGTGCATCAGCAACTTCAACCAAATTCAACGAACTCACTGCCACGACCGACTTTCTATTAACCTCGGCATTGATCAAGTGATTTTCTTCGTATTTTTGTTGAGCAAACGCGAGGTGTTACTACTCTTTATTCATGGATGAGCTGACGTTTCGGCGGATTTCGCCTTCTTCAGAGCCGCTTTCTATGAGGTTTCCACTAAGTATGTCACGTAGAGACCAACCGCACAGAAATCACGTGGAAGTATAATGACAGTATAATCACATTTAATCGTGAACAAAGAATAGTAACACCTCGCGTTTGCTAAACAAAAATACGAAGAACTCTCCAGTGTCAACTAAATCAGTTATCACTCATACCAAAATGAACCTTTGATTGCCTCCTCATTGGCAACTTCACATTAACGTTGCCTCAGTGAAATTGCTACAAATCGGATAAAACGCCTCTTACCCTTGAACACGCTCGCTCACTGTCAAGACGTGCACTTTTTTGCTCTAATGATTTTTGCACAACAATCCATCTTTTAAATGCGTTTAGCACTGATGCTATCACAATTGACTGGAAACAATCAAAAAGTCTATTTTTAGTAGTTACTTAGAACATGCCATAGTGTATACGCTGCGGCTCGGCAATATTCTCATCAAATCTCCATTTTGTGTGCGTCGTTTTCTTGTTCAGCAATCGCGAGGTTTCCAAACAGCATACATTTACTTCCATAGAAAAACACAATACAATACAACACTAGCTGACGTTTCGGCAGTATCACCTTCTTCAGAACCGCTTTTTCGTGACTTCCAATGAGGAAGTTTAGAACAGCTCTCCATTTTGTGAGTTTTCACACCTAACTTTTTATCCGAGGCTCAGATTGTGTACTGGTTAAAGATGCTCTACAATACACACGATCGTTGTTTCCCACTCGTGCGCCCAGCCAACCACCATCCCTCTTCATGAGTTTGTAAATTGGTGCCAGACCCATTTGGGAGAATGATAACAATGATTTGAAATATGGGCACTTCATCTCGATGGGATAGACCCAACGCCCCAGGCTTTATCTTTCATGCAACAACTTTTCGACTTTATGTATATGTTCATATAAAGAGGTGGATAGCATAATGGTAACGATGCCAATCACCGCGAGCACGATGCTGGTTCGACTCCATTTCGGGCTCGTCAAGCTTCACTTCCCTTCGCGGTCGAGAAACTGGTACCGAACTTGTCCGGGAAAAAATCATTCTCTACAATCGAAGTAGGAACCCTCTAGCACGGTTGTTTTAGCACTCCAGGAAGCATCGACCAGCATTCTGCGACGTTAAACATGAAATGGAAATGCTCAAAGAGCAATCGAAGCTACACGTAAACGATGAAAGACCTTAGTGGATGATGAATGCGAGAAATCGAATCGAATGTGAGAAGTGCTGTGATTCGCACAGTAGACGTGAGGAAGGGTCGTATAAAAGAAAATAAAAAATAAAATATATTCTATCTATCTATCTAGTCTATCTGATCTCTTGTAAAGCGTGCGGGCACGAATATGTTGGCGAAACGGGTAGACCGCTCTGCGTCCGCATAAAAGAACACCTAGTCGGTAAATCTAAACTAAAACACAATACCCCACTAGGCGCGCATAGGATGCAAGAACACAACGGAGAAGATTTTGAGGTAGGAGCCACTATCCTTACGCAGGAATCGAAAACATCAGCGCGAAAAACTCTTGAAGCGTTTTGGATCAATGCCAAAAATTCAAAAATGAACCGCAAGGAGGAGTGTCTTGTCATCACGCGTGACCTAGCGCCATACCTCAGGCTGATCCAATGATCTGACATGGACCCAGTTATCGACCATGTATTACTCTGTGCGGCGGCTATCCACCAACTAACTTAAATACTTACAACAAATAAACGGTAGGTGTTTGAATGAAGCTGTTTCTTATGCGAATACAAATCGATTTATCAAGTTTTATCTGCTAGGGTTATGAAAGTGTTTGGCTGAGTAGATCGCATTTCAATTTGACCTTTCCAGGCTCTGAAGAAGGCGAAACCGCCGAAACGTCAGCAATTGTGTTCTAATAAATTCTATATTAACAACCTCGTGTCTGCTTATTGATGAAAAACATTAAAATATATTCATTTATATATATCCTCTCGTCTTCTACTCCGTCCTTCTTTTTCTTTCTCTCCACTTCTCTCTCTCTTTACACACATATATATATATACATATACATGTAAACTTTTTATTTACTGCCTATTATAATTTTTCATGGCAAGGTGTTACGTGTGATACAACCACTATGATGCTGAGATGTTTGCAAAACTCTGGATCGCAGGTGTTTGCGGTGGGGAATGGACGGGTTATTACCCTTTCCGGGAGCAATGGCTTTCACCACTACACCATGCGGGTACTTCGTACACTCTCGACAAAGTTTTATACAAATAGATGACATCAAAATGCGCTGAGATGGCAATGCCTCCAGAGATTCGTACCATTGGTGCCGACGATCGAGCACGGCTTTTGGTCGAATGCAAACGACAGCGACGTGCGATGCGACCGGAACGATTCATAGACGCCATTTTCAATAATGAGCTTCGCGACATTGTGAACGGGTAAGATTCACTTCGACCGTTTTTTATACGCTCATATTGATACTCGCTTTAGTATTTTCCATTATTTCCATTTCTATAGGGCTCGTGCGGTGCAGTGGTTAGAGGCGCCCTGTAATGCGCATGCAGTCACTCAATCCCACACGAAAACCAAGCATTCCATCCCATCAGCGTTGGAAAATCGACAGCGGTTTTGTTTGGGAGCACGAAAACACTGAACTGATATAAAGGTGGTGATGCCCTTCTAGGCAAGTCTGGTGCCGATTGGCCTCCGAGAGATAGAAGGCTAGGTGAACCTGTGGTGCGGAATAGAAGGTGCCTCTATTCGCTGCTTTTCGGGTGTCCAATAATTTGCTCCCTATGCCATTTTGGATTTCGCCAAAGCCATTTGAGAGTAGCTCACAAAGGTTGTGAATAAGCTGCTCGACATTCTTGGTGTTTGAGGGAAATTCGTGACGTGGTCATAAAGTAATGATAAAAGAGTAGCAGTAATAACTCTTCTCCCTAGTTAGGTTCATGCCCTTAAATAGTACTCTTGTTGATAATAATAACAATACAGTTATAACGTTTCTCCTATTCAGCATTTATAGAGCTCTATCACCAAGCAGGATGCCCTACTGGGACGCCAGCTGGGATTTGCGGTTGCCGCAACCGGCGGATTCAGTTCTGTTTAGCAAGAATTTCTTTATGAATGCTATACCACGACGAAGACGACGACGACGGGTTGGAGAGAAGAAGATGAGAGAAACGTGAGAACTTCGTATCTATTAGTTTAACTGAAAGGATCGAAATCGCTGATCATCACTGCCATTCATGTGGTGCAATGAGGACTTGGTTCGCTTCCAAATTCACGATCTATCATCCAAAGTCCACTATTTCGTTTCTATTTCTTTTCAGTATAGCCTTACAATGTATGATGATTTCACGATTCTACAATCAGCCGATATTTTTGCAAAATAATCCCAGTTAATGACTAAAAATTTGGTGAAGGTCAAGAAAGCAAGGCCCTCTCCTGATTATAAAACATTGAAACATACAAATTCTCAAAGGATAGAGTTGACGGATTTCCTGTTTTGTCCAGTGATTACTTTTTTTGAAGTAGTTTTTCAACCGCTCCACGTCAAAATACACTGCTAACTCCTCACGCTGATATTGTCTCCTTTGAATGGGACGAACTAAGTTGCTTTATCCTTGATGTAAACCTACTCCACATACATCAATGATATTACAAATACGTCGAACGACTTGGAAGATTTATAGGCGATAAAACGATAAAGGATGCGTTCGGCGTTGATCCATTTTTGAGGGATACGCTATCTGTTCGACTTCACCAAGCATCCTTAGATGTGAGTGAATGCATGTCTGACCTACTAACGGATCAAATCAGTGCTGCCATCATCCCAAACAAGTCCACTACCAATTTTTCGGCTCTAGAGAGAAGGAAGGCTTGGTGAGCCGGGGAATCCAACCAATGACCACTGGTATATTTCGTTTCAGATTATTCCTAACTCAGCTGATCGTTTCGGTTGCTTAGAAACAAAAACAATCACGCTTGAAAGTTATAAAGACGAAACAAGTAGAATATAGAGGAGCTTCTCCAACATCCATGTTCAACCACACATTGGAGGAAGACACCGTGCCTGACTTTACTGTCTCATTGCTTCTCATGAGTCGTCCCCGATGACACGAACCTCGAAATTTCTAAGTCGAAAGACCAGTAGTGAGAGCAACCGAGCTTTACTACGCACGAATTCGGACCCATTCGGTTATTATCGCCCTAAACGTGTTTGATCAAGCTCGCAGTGGTTGTTCGATGGACATTATATGAACTCATAATCTTTAATCTATTACTATGGTGTAAGCCTCTCAGTCATTGCTTTTTCTCCTATAGTCAGCAGGTGGAAGTTGGAAGCTGATGCTCTACTGTACCAATACAAACGAGCCTTCTAGAACTACACACAACGTCAGAGTCTTGCATAGTTAGTTGACAATTTGAATAGCAGGAAATTATATGAAGCAATTTATGCATACATCGATTTTTAACGGTACCCAACATCATTAATTGTGCGGATCCCAGCATTTATTACATTCAAATCGTTTCATCTAATCCATTGTGCACAAAGTTCTTCGCATCAGCATGTGTAGTCGTCTATAGCTCTCCATCATGAATGTCGTTGAATGATGGGCGAGACGTCTCGACCTGGAATCCCGAGATAGTCGAGCTAGAGTGTTCCCACGTGGAACAGAGAGAGTGATGTGATTCCAGACATTTTCCACCAATTTTCCAATCATGGAAGGATGACAGGATAAAACACTTTATTCAGCTAACGTTTTGGCGCCTTCGCCTTCCTCAGAGCCGGATAGTCCGAGTCGATTGTTCACAGTACTTCCTTTTCCGACGTGGATCTTCGTGATTGCATCGAGTCGAATCCACTGGTGTACCGCTCTATGGAAGAATCTCTTTCAGCACAGGTCTTTTATAAAGGGACGTTGTAGATGACATTGACTGTCCGTTGATAATCGTTCACTTTTCGCCGAACAATCCATCTTGCAAAAGTCGGTAACATTATAAAATAGCACAGAGCGCAAAAATATTTCAAAAACCGGCTTTTCCTTAACCTCGGTACGAGTAATCAATATGCGTTTTTTCATTGATCAGCCAAAACGAGGCTGATAAAACTTCTTTTAACCCTCGAACACAATCCTTTTTATCAACCTAGTGTTACCTTATTAACCAAAGAACATATGTTGATTATATCTTTCTACTTCTGTTCAGCAAGCACGAGGTGCTATTTTATTTCTTTATTTACGCACAAGCTGACGTTTCGGCGG